GAGGAAAACTCTACACAGTCAAACATTTATGTGTGAGTCCATCTACAGCCAAAGCTGTGGGTTGAAAATAACCTGAAATCCTTGCCATAGATTTATCTGCGTGGCTGCATATGCCTGCTGCTTCGCCCATCCCTCTCCATCATCTTTCATTAACATTTTTTTTTCTGGTATAATTCCTCTGTGTTATATATTATACTCAAGTTTGGTCTAGGATCATTTCAGGCCACGTCCAAACTTTACATCATGGTTGATCTTCTAAACATCAAGTCTGTGTCTCTTCTCTGCTTCTTTTCTTTATCATACTTCAGGTTTGCATTATCCCTCATCCAAACTACTGCAATAAGCCCCGAAGCGATCATCCCTGCCTTCAACCTCTCCACGTTATGACCAACCTTTGCCACTCAAAGATTTCTACAACACAAGTCTGATCAAGTTTACCTCTGTCCCTCAGCAGCTCCCCCTCACAGACAGAATAAATGTTCTGCCTTGGCTGGTCATTTCTCAGCAAACCACACCTTGAACTCTACCTGCCCTTTTTCCTAGCCTGCCACCTTCCCATGAGTCATGTAAAAAAACACACGTCGAAAAACACTAATCGTTGCCAGAACCTCTATGCCATGGTCTTTCTTGTCTCTGGGGTTTGCACATATTCTCGTTTCTACCTGGAATTCTCTTTCCCATTTTTTTTCCTGTCTATTGAACCTCTACTCATACTTTCAGGTTAAACTCAAATGTCACCGTCCCATTGAAGCTGCCTGATATGACCTTCCCAGTGGCCAGATGCACTCCACCCTGGTTTTCAATTGTACTTTTCATAAACCAATTTTATCACTTCAAACATAGCATTATAATTCCTTCCTTGCTTTTACTTCACTGTATAGAAATTTCTTTTAAGAGCAGGAGTTATGTTAATTATCCTATTTTCAGGGCATAAAAGAAGGTGTGATACATAGCTGGTTCTTAGTCATTTGTGGAATACATGAAAATGATTGTGGCATCCTAAACACTGCAGTTGGAAGCCTATGAATAAGAGTCCTAGACTATCTCACATAAAGAAAGATGTTCAGGATTTTCCTGGGGAATGCAGATGGTTTCCTAAACACTGAAACTGTGAAACACACTGAATACGATAATGACCTTTACTCTTTTCCATGTTTAATACATTCATACTTCTGATCTTCTTGTGCATTATTTTAATACAAGACAAGCTCATTAAGGACAAGGACAGGAAACAGCTTGCTCAGCCCAAAAGTTCAGATGCTCCAATGGCATCTTCCTACACTGACCTGACTGGGGAGTGCTTTGCCTACAGTTCACTTTCCATGGTTGAGTCTTTATTACCTGAATGGTAGTTATCTGGGGACATATCCTCTCAACTAGGTTATAAGCTCTTTCAGGTGAGGCAGGGTCTAAACATCTTTGTTCCTAGAATGATGTCTTGTGCACAATAGATATTCACTAATTACCTGGTGAATGATTTGGAAAATATTAATTCAGGGACCACAGAATCAAAGCATTAGATTTTGAAAATGATAACTTTTGAAGGCTTCCCATCTTAAACTAAAAGGCTTTGCTTTGCAAAACTAACTTAGTGTTAAACTCTTCATAGCAAGCACATGTTGGTAAGAACAGCTGAGTGCAAAATGCCAGAGGAGGACAACTTAGGTGTCTAAGAGTTGCACTATCTCCACCTGGGAACCCAGCACTATAAATTACTTTACCTGGTGTTTGGAGGCTGACAATACCTGTATCTTCTGAGTTAACTCCCCAACAGCTGCCTTACACTTGAGAGACTGTGAATATGGTACCATAAGGTGAATTGAAATCAAATTATCGGAGCAAAGTTACTATTTAGTATGAGACATGAACTCCAAGATCATGGTTTCACCAATGATTGATAGCCCAGCCCGTCTTTGTCAGGTTCGGTTTTCAAGAGTTCAGTTTTGACAGCACTAGGACATAAAGAAATTGCAAGGACAAGTAGGTTTGATAGAAGGTCAAAATTAAGGAGTCTGGGCATATTTAGAAACCTTGGCAGAAGCTCAAATAAGGGGTCGCCAGAAAGGAGATGAGCAGTTTAGAACTCTTTCTCACATTAATTTACAGAGAGAAATTTCTGAAGAGGAGCCATGGGAGGCTCAACAATTTCAAGGGATCAGAACATTAGAGGGAAATTAGGAGATCAAGGACCAAAGGCGCTTTAAAAGTGTCTCCTTTGCTCATATCTGTGCACGTCCTCAGTGTGGACTTTCTGGATAGGAAGAGGGGACCAAGGAGGTCTACATCTCAGCTCTCTTAAAGCACATAATCCAATAGCGCTAAGTGGCACATGATGAGGGCCAAGAAGCTATAGTTTGGTTCCAACGTGGTCTCTGCTTTCTCTAAGGTCACCACTTCCACTGAAATATTTTGGTCCTTTTATTTTTCATGGATTGGGTTAGGAAAGAGGGATGTTGATATCAAGTGAAAGGTAATGGGGGGCTCAGATTTAAACCTATCAAGATATTTGGCCATAACAAGTGAAAATTAAATGGAACTGGCTTTCGGAAGTGATGCTGTTCTATCTAGATAAGGATCCCAGAAGGGCTTGTAGGATAAGAAGCCAGAGGAAATGCAGAGACAAGAGGAAAGAGGCTGGATATTTCTGTAAGCCTGGGGCTTCTCCTGGAATGGAGCGAGGCAAAAGTTCTAGCAGGGTGAGAGGCTTCTTGTCAACAAAGCCCCATAAAGGTCTCCCTTGGTGGTGCTCAGCCAAGACTGCATTAGTACCTCTGGGGAGATTTTGGAAAAACCTCACGGACTTGAGGTGCTCCCCTAGAGAGTCTGATTTAATTAGCCTGGCCTAGGGACTATTTTGAAAATCTGTCTGAGCAATTAAATATGGCGGGAGTTGAGAACCACTGGGTTAGATAAATAAAGAGGATACTGGGGTGGGAGAGAGGAAATAGAATAAATCATTTTCCACTTTTTTTCCCTCAGAATGAAGCAGAATTTCCAGAAAGTGTCACATAAACACAGGTGGTTCTTGAGATGGTGTGTGATTTGACAGCACAGGGATAAGCCTTCTTTGCATCTATATACATACATGTATGTCACACATCATTACATATACATACACCTGCTCTGCTCTGCTAAGTCATTTCATTCATGTCCATCCCTTTGTGACCCCATGGACTCTAGCCTGTCAGGTTCCCCTGTTCATAGGATTCCTTGGCAAGACTACTGTAATGGGTTGCCATGCCCTCCTTCAGGGGATCCTCCCAACCCAGGGATCGAATTCACATCTCCTACATTGGCAGGCAGGTTCTTTACCACTAGCGCCACCTGGGAAGACTATATATACAAACATATGTATATATTTACAAGTATCTATTTGAATAAATATTAGAAAAATATAACCAGCATATCACATTTGAGAATTCATGTTTTTAATGCTTAGGATGAGGCTAAGATAAGGTACTGAAGTGCAGAAGGTAAATGCATTTAAGCACACAATCTGTAAATTCTAGAACAAGTGGATATGGCAAAAACTTCTGACAGAGGTATGCAAACAACTGGAGTTTGAAGAACAGCAAACTCAAGTGGCCCAGAACCTGTGAAATCTTTCTTGTCAGCCTTCACTGATCTACACTGTCTCCCTTGGCCTAGCAGTGCAGCCCGCACAAAACCACCCTCTCCTGGCTCTTCTCACCTGGATGCTCGTTCCTCATCCCACGTATTCAGATACTTCCAAACTGGGCACAGACTTAAGTCGGCCTCTTCCAGCCTCGAAGCCACGATCTGATTACTGATGTTATAGGCTGGAACTTAACTTGTCTCCTTTTTCAGATTCAAATCTGAGCTTAAACCTTACTTAGGGTGCCTTAGCACAATAGGGCGGAAAACCAATGCTCACCAGGCGTCCCATCCCCGAAAGCACAAAAGTGAAACCGAAGCGACCCAAATCCAGGTTATGCAAACGCAAAGGAGGGGGTGAGGGGTATGAAAGGAAAACTCCAAACCGAGCAAACAAAACCCGCCTGCAGAAAAGGCGCAGACTCGAGAACGTTTCCCTCTGTATTTGCCATTCTCAGGGCATGATGCAACCTCAGGTTGCCCAATTTATATTTGCACATTTTTCCTAGCGAGCTTCAAAACCTCCCAACTCCATAAAATGCCTTTTTAAAAGTTCAAATCTGCAGCCCAAGACGTCTGCACGACAGGCCGGATGACCCGACGGTCACCTAAGCCCAAGGAACTGGCCTGTCTCAAAGAAAGACGAGGAAGGGAGAGGCGCAAAGGCAGGAAGCGAGGAACTTGACAGCCACGTCTGTACCTTTCCCCTACCAGCCTCAGTTCACTGGATAAGCTACTGCCAAGGGCAACAGTCTGTGCTTCACCTTTCCCCTGCTCTGCTTCTCGAGTCCTGCTCCTCTGCCCAATCCAAAGGGCGCTCAGAGTGGCAACACGGGAAAACCAAAACCAAAAAAAAGTGCCCAGGTCTTTAGCCTTCCTCCTCCTCTTCCTCCACCTCCCGCCCCCGCTTTCCACATCCTGGCGGCCTCCTGGTCACCCAGTCATCGGCTACACCTTGCACCACCCAATAAAATGGCAGGTAGCAACAGGCGAGGCCTCCAGCCCCGCGCGCCAGCCACCCCGGGCAAGCCTCCCGGGGTCTCCGACGGTACCCACAAACCCAAATAGTCCGTCTCCTCTTCAAGTCCCCAATCCTCGGCCCCACGGGGCCTCCTGATCGCTCTCCCGGGACCATTTCTGTCGCCAGCGGAGGAGCAGGTGGCCGCGTAACAGGTGCCAGGAGAGAGGGCCCGGGCGGTGGCGCCGCCGCCCAGATGCGGGCTGCGCTGGGCACCGGGAGGACCCCGGTAGGAGCGCCGGAGAAGGCCACGTCGGGGGACGGGAGCTGGGGTACCGCGCAAGGGACACGGCGCCCGGAGGGTCAGGATGCGGCCGCCCGTCCTCGCCATCCAGGGCGCGACCCTCGCCCGGGCTGCCCCACTTACAATCTCCAGGCACACGAAGGCGCCCGAGTAGGTCCGCAGGATGTCGGGGCCGGCGGGCAGGGTGACCCGCGGCGCTGGGAAGGACATGGCGGGATTCGGGGGCGGCGGAACTGGCGCTCCGCCGGCCGACATGCTGCTGCTGCTGCGTCTCCGTGCGCCACCGCCTCCCTCCGCCCGCCTCCGCCTCCCCGGCTCCCGCCGCCGCCGCCGCCGCCGCCGCTCGGGCCCGCCGGGTCCTGGCGCGCTGCTCGGGAGGGAGGGGGCGTGGCCGCGCCGTCCCCGGCCAGGCCGGGCCCCGCCCCGTCACGTGGTCCCAGGTGAGCGCGCCTCCGCCACCGCGCCCGCGCGGGTCACGTGCGCAGGTGCGGCGGCCACCTGGCCCGATTCTTCCTGCGCCCGCTCTCCCGGTCCCCTGTGCCACCGGGCGGCCAGCGCTCTTGGCTCCACCTCCCTCCTCCCCTGGTCTCCCTCCCCGTAGTTTCCACCTGTTCTCTTTCACCTCTCCTCCCCTCAACTCTCACCGCTTCCCCGTCCCACTTTCCTCGGTTTAACTACAAGTCAGGTTTTGGAGCTGTGACTCAAAGTAAAATCCAGGTCATCAGTCACACCGAAAAGGGGGAGTGGGTCAGTTTTAAATGGGACTCTTGTGGGATTTTAAAAACACCACTAGGACGTTGTCGCCTGGTGGAGTCAGATGGGTCAGCGCCAGCACCTGTTGGCAGCGCATGCTGGGCAGGGAACCCGCTGCTTTGCATGCCAGTGGTGTGCTCACCTGTGGAATGGGGTTGAGGTGACCTGCTCCACATGGATGTCTGAATTACATGATGCAACATGAAAATGGTAAACCCCAAGTAAGCACTCTTTAAATGGTAGCTGGTAGGATGATGACTACTTTTCTGGTTTTTACATATGCACACATCACACTGTTTTGTACACATAAAGTTGCGTAAGTTGTATTTTCCACATAAAGCTTTACTTATTGGTTTCACTTGACAAACTTATGAATTGCTGTGTTTTTGTTTTTTTTTTTTAACCATTTATTTATTTGGCTGCACCAAGTCCCTGTTGGGGCACCCGGGACCTTTCCTGCATCATGCAGGAACTTTCCTTGTTTTGCAGGAGCTCAGTAGTTGCCCCAGGAGGTCTTATTTGCTGCAGAGTCATGTGCGATCCTAGTTCCTCCACCAGGGATCAAACCTAGGCCCGCTGTGTTATAAGGTGGCTTCTTAAACACTGGACCACCAGAGAAGACCCTCCTGTTTTCTTTTAAACACTTAGAAGGATTTTTTTTTTTTTAAAGATTCTATGTATGGTTTGGATTCCATGCCCCAATGTATCCTCATTTTATATTTGGTTTTAATGTCAATATTTTATAAGTAAAATAAATGAGAGGAGATAAATTTTCTCAAAGATCAGCTGAAGATAAGCAAAGCTACACACAGCAACATACAAACACATGTAGAGCAAGCTGAAAAAGTATTAGGCAAGATCATCAGACACTAATTGAATACTAATCTTGTCTGTCAGGTTTAGCCTTTGAGGAATGCTGTTTAGTTGTATGCATTGGTCATCAGATTTTAGTCATTCTATCTCTTTATTATATTAATAAGCGAAACTCATAGGTGTGGTGGCAGCATCAGAGTAGAAACCATAAAACAGGGTGTGAGTGAAACCTTTTGTGTAGGTCCTTTATCTTCCCCACCTCTTCATGTCATCACTTCCTGTTACTTAATGTGTGGCATTTATCTAATAGGAAATTTCATTGGTTTGATCAATGAACCCGCTTTGAGTTTTCTACCCGCTTTGAGTTTTCAGGCTCAGACTGTCAGGGAATGATCTTTCATGATTGTTTTATTTTCTGCCAAACAGCTCTCAGTAAACACTTCAAGTATGTCCAAAAGGAAGACCTCTTCAAATTATTCATCATGAGGATGGGCAGCTATAGTGATGGACCCCCAAAATTTCAATGAATAAGCATAAAATTGGAAAAGACTTTGATGTTGGGAAAGATTGAGGGCAGGAGGAGAAGGCATCATTGACTTAATGGACATGAATTTAAACAAACTCCAGGAGATGATGAAGAACAGGGAAACTTGGAGTGCTGCAGCCCATGGCATCGCAGAGTCAGACACAAATGAGTGACTGAACAACAACAAAGCATAAAATGACTTTGAAGTTTCCAATATGCTCAGTGACTTAGAAGGGTCTGAATCGTGCTTGTTTAAAATTACCACCAAGGGGAAAACTTCATTGTGTCCCTTCTAGCACCCTCCTTGCTGTTTGTTCCATGCATCCCCTGGACTATACCTGCTTTCTTCCTGCTTCCACAATGACAAGTGGAATAAAACATATATCATTGAGACCCCTTCTATTATTGTGACATATTATTTGTTAAAAAATGGATTCCTCCCTAGAATGGTTTTCTTCTCTCATGACCACTACCATGATCTGTTTACTCTTGATGACACCAGTTTCCTTCTAATGAAGGCAGCAGCTCTGGAATCAAAGAAAAGTACTCATTTCACCCCTGCCCCTCATCACTCTCTTCCTCCATACAGTTAACTGTGAGCTCTTTACAACTTCACTTTTCTATTTTTCCACATCCTGTTTCCCTGGTTTACTGATCCTCAACATGACCTTTACCTTGTTCACAGACTTCTCTTAGCCTCCATGCTTTGGAATGTTATCCTTCATATTCATGACATTTTCAACAATTTTTTGCCTACAACTTCTTGCTATCTTCAATGAGCTGGACAACACCCAAATCACACCTGGACCACCTTCTTGCTTGGAATTTCACTACTCTGTTTGCTTGAATGTTGACGTCTTCTATCCATCTAAGTCTTGTTTCTCAGTTCATTGGCTGCCAGCCTTTCACTCCCTCGTAATTCTCTCATTTCTGGCTCCCCTATCCATCTCGTGCTTGTGGGAAGGTATTTTAGAGATGCTTGTGTTTGTCTCACGTGTTGCCTCCGATTTTGTACTTTACTATAAGTTTATCCACACTGCCACATATTCTGCTGTGTGAATTCAACCCATCAGCTGCATCTGCTCTCAGATTCTACTCTTAAGAGTTTTGTTTCCATTATTATGAGACAAGTGCTCGGACCTGGTGCACTGGGAAGACCCAGAGGGATCGGGTAGAGAGGGAGGTGGGAGGGGGGATTGGGATGGGGAATGCATGTAAATCCATGGCTGATTCATGTCAATGTATGACAAAACCCACTACAATATTGTAAAGTAATTAGTCTCCAACTAATAAAAATAAATGAAAAAAAAATTTTTTAAAAAAAGAGTTTTGTTTCCGTTATTAATTCATGTTATCTAGTCACGGATTCCGAGGTGTCAATTTCTTCCACTGCCCCTCCCCCACTTCTCTCACTTTTTTTCCCGTAGCTTCTTTCACTCTCTCCATCTCTGTGCTTGGCACAAGTAGATAATATGTTCAAAGTATGAAACAAATTTCAGCCATTGCAACCTTCCCTACTTTCTCCTGCTTTCTTTACAAGGAGTTTCAGGATCTCCAACCAGTAATACTTGTTTCACAGGAAACAGGACCACCCATCTATCCAGTTATCCAAGACAAACAGCAGGGTTGGTTCCCCTTGGTAGTCGCATATTTAACCAGTTACAAGGTCTGGCACTTCTACCGTCTTATTCTCCAGAATATATCCACTTCTCTTCATGCCCGTGTTCTCACCCTATCTTGGTACGCTGTCCCTTCTCTAATAGTCATCTTTCCCTCTCTTGCATTTTCTACATTGCTCTCAGAATCATATCTAAACATGAAATTGCAGTCACACCTCTATTAAAACTCCTTCAGGATTCTCTACTGTCTCAGGGTCCATTTGAAATACCCCAGAATGCATTCAAGTTTTTTCTGGGATGTAGCTTCTGACGCATTCTCTGTCCTCCACCAGTTTTATTAATCCACCTACAGTTCCAGAAATTCTCTCGCCACCAGATCTTTACACATTCCCATCCTTCTAGAGGAACAACCTTTCTTCTTACCACTCCTCTACCCCATAACTATTTTCAGGATAGTTCCTTTGGGTCCTGCCAATTCATTATGGCTGCGTTTCTCTGGCTATTGAAGATTATGCAGGATGGCCTCCCATCTGTTTCCCTAACCTGTTGTGCTTACTGCACTTAAAACTCTTGCTTCACTAAATGGATATTGCTTGTCTCATATTCCTTAGCTAATGTTATGAAACACAATACAAAATTGAAAAGTTCATTGGAAGCACCAAGAGACGAGGCACCCATCTCTCCCTTCTATCAAGAATAAGAAAGCTCAGGAATGAGGATTTGGAAAGAGTGATTTGGGGGAGTCGTGCTGGGAGCCACAATGCACTCTGTGCCTCCTCCATCGCTTCTCCCACGACGCAGGAAGTTATTTATTCGCATTACGTAATAGGGGCTCAAGTAATATCAGCTGACCAAGTGAACTCTGCATCTACATTTCTCTGCTTTAAACCATTACTCTCCCCCTATTTTCCTATTTCATAAGAGGCATTTCTATCTCTATCTCAGCTTTTCATTATTTCCCCTTTGTAGTTCATTTAGGGAATTAATCCATTAATTTTCTCTTCTTTCTCTTCAGCTTTCAGTTTCACTTTACACTTTCACTTTACACTTTCCCCATCTATGAAGATATCTAAGTTTCCCTCATCATCAAAACAGCAACACTTGCCTTCTGCCCATGAAAGAATAACCAGAACTGGATTTACCTTCCTGGCTGAAACAGCTAAATACCAAATAAAATATGTGAAACACAGGTTTTCAGACATTGTATATCAAGTCATGCAGAATAGTGGGCCCGTAGAGATGGAAAAGAAATGACAGCAGCCCTGTAATTTTTTCGGCTTATAGACTTTCCAGCAAAGGGGAAGAAAGACCCTGGTAAAGCACAGCTGTCTCTATTATCTCTATGAGTTGAGGTGGTAAATCTGAGAATTTGAAGGGAGGGAGGTGCAGAGAGAACTAGAGTTCACAGAGCACAGAGGAAAGAGTTGCATACAGAAAATGCTTAGAAGATCAGCAAAGGGTCCCCTTAAATCTTCAGACAAATATTTATCAGCAAATAAAAGTAACTTATCTGAGCTGAAGGAAGAAACATTCCAAAGGAGCAGAGGATTAATCTCAGGCATTCACACAGGGACAGGAATAGTTCATGTGTCCACAATCCAGAGTGTAAAGTTGCCT